TGCTCCGAAATAAATAGAGAGAGGAGGGGTGGGGCTGGGGAAGGTAGGTGGGATGGTGATAGGTGACTACAGGTAGGCAGTGGTGGGGATTGGTCAGTGAGGTGGGACAAGCGGATAGGTGGGAGAGAATATGGAAATTTTGGAACTCCTTTCCCCCTCCCCCATTTCTGAAGAAGAGTCCCGACCCAAAACGTCAACTTTCCTGCTCCTCTGATGCTGCCTGGCCTGCTGTGCTCCTCCAGCTCCACACTGTGCTATCTCTGACTCCAGCATCGGCAATTCTTAATATCTTTGAGTGAGTTGTAACACACACCGTGATGGCTGCTTGGAACCATTGTTCAGCCCGAAAATCCAATTCACACCTCGACTCTAAGAGAACAATCAATCAGACCTAACACTCCAGGCTGAAACTAACCATTTCCACCTCAGGCTACAAAAATCGAGACATCTTGGAACCTATACAGATACTGGACATTTAACTTCAAACAATATTCATTCATAGAGATACCGGACATTCCATTTAATCAAAATACATTCACTCCTACTCTTAACTATCAGGAAGCCAATTGCCTCAAAGGGGACACCAGTAACACAATGGCAAGCTCACATTTGGCCTTAAGGTAACAGGCCTGCATTTAGTATAATGACAGGCCCGAACTCACTGAAGAGAGCGATTCGCCCCGGGAGCTATCCCCACAGCTAACACCAGGAGAAGGATCCAGAAGAGCTCCTGCCCCGAAAGCAATCCCCACAGCCATCTCCAGAACAGGGATCCCAAGGTGTGATCCTCCCCAACAACTATCTACATAGCTATCTCCAGAACAGGGATGCCAACGGCAATCCTGAAACCTACTGACACAGGCCTGTTCCGTACCAGGAGAAACCAACGACAACCGACCACGACCAGCAGACCTGACAACTGATGACCTCCAAAAACCACCAACCTGACTGACAAGGCCTCATACACATCCTGAGGTGAAAACCGGCTTGCAAAAACCACCACAAAGTAAGGAAAACTAAGTACTCTTCCGATAGATCCACTATGTGTCCTACCACATCAGTGGAATCAACCTAGTCTGAAGGCATATACTGTCCAAAATCTTCTTCAAAGTACTGGCTACGGCAAGAGGGAATGGCCAGCTGTACTTCAAAATCATGTTTATCCCCAGTGGTGAGCTTATATTCTCAAGACCCCAAAGTGTCCAACCTAGCTAGCCGGGGGGGGGAGGGGAGGTGGGTTGTTACAGTGTAGGGAACCCAAGGGTACGAAGCCTTATAAAAGTTTCTGTGATTAAAATCTGTTTAGTTCTAATAGTGTTTAGGCTGTATTTGATTTAATAGTGTTTAGTTACTGTCTTCTGTATAATTGATAGTGTTAATTTCACTGTTTGTTGTGTTCGTCTTTTTTATCTTGTAATATACTTACCTTTGTGTTTAATAAACATAGAGATTCTTTTGCCCCTGAAACACCTGTCTACTGCCTTCTTCTTTTCACCATTCCCTAAATAAGTTCAGTATCAGAACCAGGGATCTGGGGGTGATTCGAACCACCTAAAAATCAGCAAATTACTGATCGCAAACCTGAATCTCTCCAGCAGCCCCCACCCCATTTACCTTACTCCAAATGCTCCTTTCTTTTTTTATATCATCTCCCTCTTTATTGTCCATAAAATCATTGACTAACCTTTCTTCCTTTCTCTCTTCCCCCCACTTTGATCTCGGTTCAACTTCTTCAAACTCTGCCTCTTTTACTTTCTCGTCTGCTCCCTCTACCATTCACTCTCCTCTTCTCCCTCCACTCCGTTACTATCCTTTCCTCCCTTTTACCTTACAAAATTGGCTTGACGGTAGAAGACAGAGGGTAGTAGTAGAGGATTTTTCTTGGATTGGAGGCCTGTGACTAGCGGTGTTCTGTAGGGATCGCTGCTGGGTCCACTATTTATCATTTATATTAACGATCTGGATGATAATGTAGGAAGCATGGTTAGTATGTTTGCAGCATGATACCAAACTTGGTGGAAAAGTGGATAGTGAAGAAAGTTATCTAAGAGTACAACGGGATCTTGAGTAGCTGGGCCAGTGGGCCGAGAAGTGGCAGATGGAGTTTAATTTAGATAAATGTGAGGTGTTACATTTTGGTCAGACAAACCAGGGCAGGTTTGTAAATGGTAGGGCCCTACCTAGTGTTGTCGAACAGAGAGACCTAGGGGTTCAGGTACATAGTTCCTTGAAAGTGGCATCACAGGTAGACAGGGTGATGAAGAAGCCATTTGGCACGTTTGCCTTCATTAGTCAAAGCATTGAGTATAGGAGTAGGGACTTCATGTTGCAGCTGTACACAACATTGGTGAGGCCACTTTTGGAGTACTGCATAAATTCTGGTTGCCCTGCTTTAGGAAGGATGTTATTTAAATTGGAAAGGTGCAGAAAAGATTTACAAGGATGTTACTGGGACTGGGGGGTTTGAGTTATAAACAGAGGCTAGATAGGCTGGGACTTTTTTTCCTGGAGCATAGGAGGTTTCTAAAATCATGAGGGGCATAGATAAGGTGAATAGCAAAGATATTTTCCCTAAGGTAGGGGAATTCAAAACTAGAGGACATAGTTTTATGGTGAGAGGAGAAGATTTAAAAGAGACCTGAGGGGCAACTTTTTCACACACAGTGGTGCATATATAGAATGAGCTGCCAGAGGAAGTGGTAGATGCAGGTACGGTTACAACGTTCAAAAGACATGTGGACAGGTACATGAATAGGACAGGTATAGAGGGATGTGGGCCAAATGCAGGCAAATGGGACTAGTTTAGTTTGGGAAATCTGGTTGGCATTGATGAGTTGGACCAAAGGGTCAGTTTGCGTGCTGTATGACACTATGACTCAGCTCTCCTACCCTTGATTTTCTGTCACCACCTCCTTATAGGTACTTCCCTTCCCACCTTGTCCTCCTCCTCCCTCTCTTCGCTTCCTTTTGTTTCTATTCTACTATGTCCTTGTTCTACATTAAGAAAACAGTTCCACGGATACAACTTGCCCAAATCAACCTATACCCTAGTGACCTGTTCTGTATTGAAAATATGGCCATTTTTGAATTATCAATAACTCTGAAAACAGCACTCTCGATCATTAGACCATGTACAACAGCCCAACATCATCAATTATTTGCTGTTCCCACCAGAATTAATTGCTGTGGGTTTGGGGATATTTCTTTTGTAAAAAGATAAGATCCAAATATTTTTTAAAAATCAAAAAATACTGCAAAATGTTAGAAATCAGAAGTGAAATTAGAAAATTCTAGGAGCACATAGGACAGCGAGCATACTTGGAAAAAGTAGACAATTAACACAACACTTAAAACTGCGTATTTACTCCAAATTGGAACATGTAAAAGCAATCAAATTGAATTGGTGAATCAAGAAAAAAAGCAAGTTACACTAGGAAATATTGGAATACAGATTTTTCACAGGGTTAAAATCAGGCTCATTATTTCAATCCAGCAATGGGAAAAGAATTTGAGAAAAAAAATGAGTACCTAAGAAAATGAGGCATATATGTGGTATTAAAAAGGAAAAACTGAAAACATAGAGACATTAAATCTGAAATTTTAAAAGGTTGGTAATATATGTGTGGGTTTGCCAGTTCTGAGAAAGAGGAAATAACAGAGGGTCGTTGCCCATACCCACACTGATATGTCAAAATTCAACATGCACCTTTCCTCAACCCTTCCATATCTCACTGCCAGCAGCCTTTATCTGTCACTTGTATCCTCTCATTTTTTTTTAAAAGAGGCTGATTAATACTAACTCAGTACTTCGTCCAGATGGCTGCAAATACCCAGAGAGATCCTGGCCTGAGCCTTCTGATCTGGATCGGAATCCTTATTTCCATCCCAAATCAGACAAACCATTGCCCAAGATTTTTTCAATTGGACGTCAGATGTAAGACACAACAGAAAGTACAGCAAACCACTAGACAGCATAGGAATGGATGTTCATAGAAATAATGTCCTCTTTTTTTTACAGCAATAGCTACCATATTCCAGTGGGTAAAACATTTCAGGGTCCCAAAGCCACTGAGGGAAGAAGTGTGTGTAAGGTGAGGGTTGAAGGATGGCAAATGGGTGGATGAAAGGGTAGCATGACAGGAGGGTATGTGAGGATGTAGGGCAGCTATGGGTGTGGGGTTAGGGTGCCTGGTGGGTAAGATGCCAGGTAGATAAGACAGTAGACTAGGTCAGGTGTCTGGGGATTGTCAGATGCCCATGGGAAGGTGTGGTTCTCAGTTATCTATCCATGGGTATAGGGTAGGCATTAGTGGGGGTGCATTGGCTGAGAGGGTGAGTTAGGTGCCCCTGGGGTGGAGGAGTGACTGTCCAGTGGGATAGAGGAACAGTCAGAGTCATTGGGGGTTCAGTTTTAAGCTTACCAAGGTGTTGGACCTGTTTTTAATCCCTCTAACCAAGGCGTTAGTTAATAATTCAGGCAAGTCAGTCAGAACCCCCTGAAGATTCCAACTCTCAGAATTGGGGCTTTTCTGGAGGGATCCAGATGCTGGGTATTTGCCCATCAAAAGTTGAATTGCTACAACCATAGTAGTCATTGTACTGGGTCCTCTCAGAGCTTCAGATACACAACCTTCAGGGTATGTCTGGTCTCTGATTATCTGGACGAGAGAAGTTCTGGTTTGCTTCTTGGAGGCTTAAGTAGCCAAAGTTTGCAGATGGGGAGAATCAGTGTGTCACAGGGCAACAAAAGCTGTATTTGGTAAAGCAATCCCTATAGAGGCCACAACACGTGTATTTATTTTAATCTGAACATATTATCATGAATACGCGTGGCAGATGGGACTTGAACTCAAAACTGCTCATTATTGTGTTTTGTAAGATACTGTTGTTATACAAGGTTGTTTATATTTGCTAAACGTGGATTGTACACGTTATCCTGCAAAGGCACTCTATTTAAATCCTGAGTGTTTAGGTAGTGAGGTTGGGCCGGGGGTTGGAGATATTGACAGTGCAGACCAGGGATATTGATGGCCAACAATCCGTAGAAATTAAATCTATTTGGCCGTCTGTTTATGTATGACAATGAAAATAACATACTTGGAATATCTTTCCGATAAGTCACAATGGTACTGAGTAATGGCGTGCAGAAGTAGACAGCTTATGATTTGAAAGCTGGAGGCTGGCTCTGCAGGGTCTGATTGGTTTCCTTCCACAACTCCTCCACTCTCCCACTAATTATCTGCTTAGTCCTGGGCTCGCTCCACGGTCTTTGCAGACCTGCTGGCGTCGCAATGGAGACTGTGGGTTGTGTTTTGCTCCTGCTTCCTATGCTGCAGGCTCTGCTGCACTGGCTGTTGAAGCAGAGGGAGACGGGGAAGACAGCGGCTCCTCCGTGCATTAGCGGCTGGATTCCCTGGATCAGGGCTTCTCTCCGCTTTGGAAAAGCTCCGCTTGAATTTATCGAACAAGCCAGAGCACAGGTAAAAATGCAATCATTACTATTTAAATAAAACATGTCCATCAACACGTAAACAACAGTCATGTTGTTAAGTGAGTCTCGTCGCCGATAGGGTTAAACTTGGATGGGAAGGTACGATTGCATTTGTTACTGTTAATTTCCAGTGATGCAAACAGCTTGATTTCCGATATAAATGTTCAGCATCATCCGACAAACTAATTTCGTTTCAATTACTATTAACAAAACGGAGCCTAACATTTGCACATATATTTTTATTTACTGCGCCTCACAAGCCCTTCCGCTGGGTCACTTAACAATTGCACTTAAAAGTTTTCGAGAGATTTGTAATTCGGCTTGTGGGTGAGATTGTAGGCATACTCGCCCAACTGGCGTGTTTGGTTGCAATGTTTCGTCACCCTGCTAGGTAACATGGTCAGTGTCCATCCGGTGAAGCGTCCGTGTTCTGTCCTGTTTATTATTTACGTGCCACAGCTTGCTGGGGTGATTTGGTACCACTTCCGGGTCTGTTTCTCGGAGGTTTGTATGCAGGGTATAATTCAACGTGTTTGTTGATGGAGTTCCGGTTAGAATACCAGGCCTCCAGGAATTCCTGGCGTGTCTCTGTTTGGCCTGTGCGATTATGGATATGTTGTCCCAGTCGAATTCGTGTTCCTTGTTGTCAGTGTGCAGTGAGACAAGTGAGAATTGGTCGTGTCTCTTGGTGGCTAGTTGGTGCTCATGTATCCATATTGTCAATTTTCTTCTGGTTTGGCCAATGTAGTGTTTTTCACTGTCCTTGCATGGTATTTTGTGTATTACACCAATTTTACTAGAAAGGATCCTATACCCAAAACCAGTCTAACTTCAGTCTAACTCGTCCACGCTGACCAGATATCCTAAATTAATCTAGTCCCATTTGCCAGCATTTAGCCCATATCCCTCTAAACCCTTCCTATTCATATACCCATCTAGATGCCTTTTAAATATTGTAATTGTACCAGCTTCCACCACTTTATCTGGCAGCTCATTCCATACATGCACCACCCTTTTGTGAAAAAGTTGTCCCTCAGGTCCCCTTTAAATCTTTCCCGTCTCCTTAAACCTATGCCATCTGGTTTTGGACTCTCCCACCCCAAGGAAAAGACCTTTGCCATTCACCTTGTCCATGCTCGTCATGATTTTATAAACTTCTATAGGGTCACCCCTCAGCCACTGACACTCCAAAGAAAATAGCCTCAGCCCATTCAGCCTCTCCCTCTAGCTCAAACCCTCCAACCCTGGCAACATCCTTGTAAATCTTTTCTGAAACCTTTCAAGTTTCACAACATCTTTACCCTAGTAGGGAGATCAGAATTGAACGCAGTATTCCAGAAGTGTCTAATCAATGTCCTGTACAGTCTCAACATGACCTCCCAGCTCCGATGCTCAATGCATTCAGCAATAAAGACAAGTATACTAAATGCTTTCTTCACTATCCTGCCTGCTTGCAACTCCACTTTCAAGGAACAATGAACCTGTACTCCAAGGTCTCTTTGTTCAGCAACGCTCCTCAGGACCTTACCACTAAGTGTATTAGTCCTGCCCTGATTTGTCCTACCAAAATGTAGCACTTCACATTTATCTTATTTGCAACTCTTCGGCCATCAGCCCATCTGATCAAGGTCCCGTTATACTCTGAGGAAGCCTTCTTCGCTGTCCACTACATCACCAATTTTGGTGTCATCTATAAATGTACTAACCATGCCTCCTATATTCACATCTAAATCATTTATGTAAATGACAAAAAACAGTGGACCCAGCACCAATTGTTGCGGCACACTGCTGGTCAGAGGCCTCCAGTGCGAAAAGTCTCTGCCTTCATCAGTCCTCTTCGTTACTTTTTCAAAAAACTCTTATCAAGTTAGTGAGACACCATTTCCTACGCACAAAGGCATGTCGACTATCCCTAATCAGTCCTTGCCTTTCCAAATACATGTAAATCCTGTGCCTCAGAATCCCTTCCAACAACTTACCAATCACTGACATCAGGCTGACTGGGCTATAGTTCCCTGGCTTTTCTTTGCCACCTTTCTTAAATACCGGTATTACGTTAGCCAACCCCCAGTCTTCTGGCACCTCACCTGTGGCTATCATTGATACAAATATCTCAGCAAGGGGCCCAACAATCACTTCCCTAGCTTCCCACAAAGTGATAGGATACACCTGATCATCTCCCAAGGATTTATCCAACTTTATGCATTTTAAGACATCCAGCATCACCTCACCTGTAATATGGATACTTTTCAAGATATCGCTATTTATTTCCTCAAGTTCTCTAGCTTCAATATCCTTCCCCACATAAACACTGATGCAAAATACTCATTTAGTTATCTCTCACATCTCCTGCAGTTCCACACATAGGCATCCTTGCTGATCTTTAAGGGGTCCGATTCTCTCCCTTGTTACTCTTTTGTCCTTAATGTATTCTCAAAACAACTCCTGCATCCCAGGAATCAACCTAGTGAACCTTTCCGAACTGCCTCTCGTGCAAGTAGATCTTTCTTTAATTGAGGAGACTAAAACTCCATGCAGTATTCCAGTGCCCTTTATAGTTGTGACAACACTGTCATATTTTCATTCCCCTTGCAATAAAGACCATAGTGTCATTTGGATTGGGCTTCTCTTTTCTCTCCTGTATTGTCACCTCTCATGTCCCCTAATGATCCATCCTGGACCCCTCCTATTTCTTTTGCAAATTGCACCTCAGCAACATTGTCAGGATTCCCAACATTAGTTTTCAGATGTACACTGATGATATCCAGCTCTATCTCAGTTGCACTGTTATCAGTCTGCTTATCCCAAATTTAGTACAGAATGAGCTGAAATTTCCAGCTGTTAAATTTTGGGAAAATTGAACCATTGTTTTCAGGCCTTGCTCCAAGCCCTTGTTTCCTAACCTTTTCAACATCTTTCTTTCCAACAGTCATCTGAGGGTAAAGCAGCCTATTTGCACTCTCGGTGTTATATTTAATGGGGAACCTTTGCACATTTATTCATGCCATCACCTATTTTCATCTCCATAACATTATCCCCTGCCTCAGCTCATCATCTGCTCAAACCCTCCATCATATTTCTGTTTTCTCTGCTCATGACGGTTCTAATGTATTGTTCTCCCATATTCTACTCCTATCAAGTCTAAAAGTACGTGCACTGCTCTAATTCTGACCTCTTGAACATCTCTGGTTGTAATTGCGGCACCATTGGTTGTTGTGGCCTTTTCATCCCAGGCACTAAGCTCTGAATTCTCTCCCTATACCTGTCTACTTCACTTTTCTTCTGTAAAGCATTTCTCAAAACCTACCTATTTGATCTAGCTTTTGATTTTCTACAATAAATCTCCTTATTGTCATATTCTGTTTTATAGTGCTTATGTTAAGTGCCTTGAGATGTTTGATTACATTAAAGACACTATATAAATTTATATTGTTATTGTTAAATGCTATGATTGCCCTCTGTAAACCTCAGCTAGAAAGGCAGTAATCCAAATTAACCAGGATTTCTGCTTTTAGGAAAACATATGGTACTGTACAGTTTAAGTTCCTGGCTCGGCTCTAAGAAGAGGAATCATGAACTGAGCAAGAATGTTCTTACTCATGCTGAATTAGTTCTAAAAACATTTTACATCTATTAATTGTAACTCTACTTTATGAAGAACGTTTTCAGACTCATTATTTTACACTTTCTCATAAAATGCTTTAATTCCTAGTACGGAGCAGTTTTTACTGTGGAAGCTGCCGGGAAGAGACTCACCTTTGTTACAGACGAGGAAGATTTTGAGATATTCTTTAAATCTAAAAATGTTGACTTCCAAGAGGCAGTACAAGAAGCAGTATGGCATACCGGTAAGGAATAAGATGGAAAGTGTAATTAGGTCTTCATCAATTCAAAATTCCTATAATCAGAATATGCCTTTCAGTCACTCAAAAATTTTTCAGATTCTGTTAGAGCAGTCTAACTCAAGTTTTACCTAATTCTTTGTGTGTAGCAAGTGGGGAGGGGGAATTGGGGGAGTTTGCATTCTAGAGGTCAACAGGAAGGTACAAAGATAGGGTGTTAGGTTATATTACCATCTTTTCTGGCAATACTTCTGAATTATATATCTCTTCATCTCTCACCATCAAAGATTGACTTGCTCCCGTATCTCTCAAATTTTTAATTTCTTTACCTGCTCATCCTGGCATACATGAGTAAACTAGGTAAGTAAATTCTTTAAAGAGATCTGACAACCAACTCCTGACAATGCAGTAGACTCTTTTCAGCTTTTTAGCTTATATTGTGCCTTCCTTTAGCACTTCAACAAAACTCACTGGTTTATCTTCTTTTCCCATATCCTGTTTTCTCAATGTTTTTCTTCTGAACCACCCAGTATTGCAACTTCATTTGGCCTACTTTATTGCAGTGAAAACACCTGAGCTTTTTCATTTCTCTTTCCACTTCATGGGTTTCCTTTTTACCCTATGGTAAACTATTTTAACTGCCTTCAGTGAGATCTCCTTTTCCCTTACCACCTGAGGATTTCTCTTTTCCCCAATTTCTATCCCTCACAGATTGAAATTTTTGTTGGAAGCCAAACATTGATTTATGAACTAACTTATGATCATCTGCCATTTCTGCTACTAATCTTGCAGTTTTAACTCTCTGCTCTTTCATATGAGTCCTCATTACTTCAGGAAGTGAATTTTTGAACTCTTTCAAAATAATCATCTCTCTGAGAGCATCATTTATTTAATCTATTTTAAATACCCTTATCCACCTATCAAAATTATTTTGTCTGATCCTTTCTCACACAATGCACATTTGACCAGGTTCCCTCTTTGGATTCCTGAAACGTTGTCTGTAGGCCTGTGATACTGGTTCATATCCACTTAAGATGGCCTTTTTCGCCACCTCATACTCACCAGATACCTCCCTGATAGTGATGCAAATACCTCACTAGCTCTACCTACCAACTTTGTTTGGATCAACAATATACACACATGGTCACCGGCCATTTGATTTGTTTAGCCATTTTCTCAAATGAAATGAAGAAGGCTCTAAGTCCTTCGTGTCAAATTTAGGCAATGCTTGGGCATCTTTAAACTGATTCCCACCGGGCCTTTGGCTATGATGGGTTTGCTCTTCATCACTGTCCTCATCACGACTCCTAACTTTCATCTCTACCTCACTCATTTTAAGTTGACTTTGAGTTTTCAGTTGCAACATCCAAAGTTCAAAAACCCTGTCTGTCTTCCTTTCATCTGCTAGGGTCTTCCCTTCCTGTTTACTTTTTCTTCTGTTAGAGTTATTCTCTCTTTTTCTCTTTTCCTTGCCATTGCCGCTAATTCAAGCTGCTTCATTTGCAATTGGATTTTAGCCATTTCCAATTATTCTGTAAATGTCAAGCTATTGCTGCAATTGTTTCCCATTTTGCACAGACAAAGGCAACTCCAACTATAGCTTCAGAGAAGTAGGAACAGCAGATGCTGGAGAATCTGAGATAACAAGGTGTAGAGCTGGATGAACACAGCAGGCCAAGCAGCATCAGAGGAGCAGGAAGGCTGACGTTTTGGGCCTAGACCCTTCTTCAGAAATGGGGGAGGGGAAGGGGGTTCTGA